GATATCCACTCAAAGTTAAGCTGCATAAGTGTAGATGCCATGTTTGGGGTTCATGGCTAAGTATCAAGATACTGAACGTCCCCATGTTCTGGATAATCGCCCAAAGTTAAGACAAACTGGGTAAGTGATAAACTCGTGGTAGAGATCCTTAAGGTGCTTAATGTAAGAATGAATCCGTAGTGGAGAGACTTGGGGTATACTGGCGGATAATTCCGTAGTGGAGAGGTGGTATGAGCTGACGGAGAGCCGACGATAATCTGACAGAGCGCTAAAGGAGCGCTGACCATCTGATGGAGGGCCCGAGGAATTTTCGGGAAAATAGGGGGTCATTTTAAAAGGTCGTTTTTGATTGATTAATTGGGTTATCCTTGGAGATTGATATCAAATTTTGACAAAAGTGGTAATAATTAGAGGCGGGCCCAAAAGTGCGCCAGAAAGGACAATTATATACTACTTACATTTTTTTAAATAGCATTTTATCGTCGCTTTTCTGATGATTTTCTCCGTTTTTCAGTTTAATTTTAAAAATATGTATTCTATAATGAAATCATGCAAATATCGGATGTCTTCAACCTTTCAACGAAAAATGAATTTGAAATCCTTCGCAAAGTAGGCTCAACAAGTTACTCGTTCGGAGAATTATTATTTTTGTCACCTCTTGCCGTTCTTTTATTCTCCTGACTGTGGACTACTGAAAATGGGTCATAGTAATTTGGCTCGTGGAAGAGTTTCTTCCACCGCTCTTGGAACAAATACTGCAGAAAATAACGACCGGCGTGGTCCGACACGAAATTCCGGAGCCGCTGGACGATCCGTTCCGGGAAGAGGGAGACCTCGTGGAAGAGCTCGCGGAAGTGTACCAATTCGCGGTCAGCGAATGAAGAAAGATTAATAAAACGTTAAACAAAATGTTATTAATAAAATTTGAATTGGAAAAATTTGAATCTCTGTTCAGCCAAAAATTTTGTTCACCCAAACTTTGATTTGAGAATACCGCACTTTGCTTTCGGAGCTCTAATTTTTTGGGACCTCTAATTTTTTTGGGACCTCTAAACTAGAACAGAGCCAAAAGTATTATAATAAAAATAGGGAAAAATAATAGGTGAAGTCCGAACAAATCTGTCAAATACCCCAAGACCTTATGAACCAAGGAACTATCTACTTCTTACTAAGGAAGCTTTTCTGTGTGTGTATCCGTCTCGGACATTAACTTGAATAACTCAAAGGCGCGTGGGACTCCTATAGTGGTGTGTGGTATGTAGTCATGGACTGCCGAGCGCTTCATGTCTATGGTGTCCTGGGCCTTCTAGCTTATAGGGAAGCTACAGTGTTGAGAATCGAAAATTTCAAAACTATGCTCAAACTCAATAAAACTTCACGAAATTATGCAAAACCGTTTTTTGGTCTATCTATGTGTTGCCTACATAAAATTGATCACAAATCTTCAGAACTGAAAAATTTTGAAAATTTCGTTTCTTTTGTATATCACTTGAATTTCGATCCTGTGGACTACTGAAAATGGGTCATAGTAATTTTCTACAGAATACAAGGTTCTTGTTATGCGCAAAATTCTAGAACATTCCAGAAAATTCCAGAAAGTTAAAGAAAATTCCAGAACATTCTAGAAAATTCCAGTAAATTCCAGAAAGATCCAGAACATTCTACAAAATTCCAGAACATTGTAGAAAATTCCAGAACATACTAGCAAAATTCCAGAGCATTCTAGAAAATTCCAGAACATTCTAGAAAATTCCAGAACATTCTAGAAAATTCCAGAACATTCTAGAAAGATTCAGAAAATCCTAGGAAGTTCCAGAACATTCTAGAAAATTCCAGAAAATTCAGAAAGATCCAGAACATTCTAGAAAATTCCAGCAAATTCCAGAAAATTCCAGAAAGATTCAGAACATTCTAGAAAATTTCAGAAAATCCCAGAAAATTCCAGAACATTCTAGAAAATTCTAGAACATTCTAGAAAATTCCAGAAAATCTCAGGAAGTTCCAGAACATTCTTGAAAATTCCAGAAAATCCCAGAAAATTCGAGAACCTTCTAGAAAATTCCAGAAAATCCTAGGAAGTTCCAGAACATTCTAGAAAATTCCAGAACATTCTAGAAAATTCCAGAACATTCTAGAAAGATTCAGAAAATCCTAGGAAGTTCCAGAACATTCTAGAAAATTCCAGAAAATTCAGAAAGATCCAGAACATTCTAGAAAATTCCAGCAAATTCCAGAAAATTCCAGAAAGATTCAGAACATTCTAGAAAATTTCAGAAAATCCCAGAAAATTCCAGAACATTCTAGAAAATTCTAGAACATTCTAGAAAATTCCAGAAAATCTCAGGAAGTTCCAGAACATTCTTGAAAATTCCAGAAAATCCCAGAAAATTCGAGAACCTTCTAGAAAATTCCAGAAAATCCTAGGAAGTTCCAGAACATTCTAGAAAATTCCAGAACATTCTAGAAAATTCCAGAACATTCTAAAAAATTCCAGAGCATTCTAGAAAATTCCAGAACAATCTAGAAAATTCCAGAAAATTCTAGAAAATTCCAGAACATTCTAGAAAAGTCCAGAAAATTCCAGAAAGATCCAGAACATTCTAGAAAATTCCAGAACATTCTAGAAAATTCCAGAACATTCTCGAAAATTCCAGAAAATTCTAGAAAATTCCAGAACATTCTAGAAAAGTCCAGAAAATTCCAGAAAGATCCAGAACATTCTAGAAAATTCCAGAACATTCTAGAAAATTCCAGAACATTCTAGAAAATTCCAGAACATTCTAGAAAATTCCAGAACATTCTAGAAAATTCCAGAACATTCTAGAAAATTCCAGAACATTCTAGAAAGATTCAGAATATTCTAGAAAATTCCAGAAAATCCTAGGAAGTTCCAGAACATTCTAGAAAATTCCAGAACATTCTAGAAAATTCCAGAACATTCTAGAAAATTCCAGAACATTCTAGAAAATTCCAGAACATTCTAGAAAAGTCCAGAAAATTTTAGAAAATTCCAGAACATTCTCGAAAATTCCAGAAAATTCTAGAACATTCTTGAAAATTCCAGAAAATCCCAGAAAATTCGAGAACCTTCTAGAAAATTCCAGTAAATTCCAGAAAGATTCAGAACATTCTAGAAAATTCCAGAACATTCTAGAAAAGTCCAGAAAATTTTAGAAAATTCCAGAACATTCTCGAAAATTCCAGAAAATTCTAGAAAATTCCAGAACATTCTAGAAAAGTCCAGAAAATTTTAGAAAATTCCAGAACATTCTAGAAAAGTCCAGAAAATTTAGAAAATTCCAGAACATTCTCGAAAATTCCAGAAAATTCTAGAAAATTCCAGAACATTCTAGAAAATTCCAGTAAATTCCAGAAAGATCCAGAACATTCTATAAAATTCCAGTATATTCCAGAAAATTTCAGAACATTCTAGCAATTTAAGGGGTAAAAATCCGCAATTCGGGGGTACAAAATACTGAAAAAGGGTCAGTTTTGTACCCCCAAACTGTGAGTTTTGTACCCCTAAATCATTGTACCCCTTTGTACACCCGAATTGTTGTAGCCTCCAAACGTTTTGCCTGAAAAAAAGGTGAAGCGTTCTCTATAAGTATACAGGTATTGTAATCACTTCCTTATTTTTTTCAAGGTTATCTGAAACCAAAGGCTTAGAATTAAGGCTGTGTGTGGGTTTTTTTAATATCTGAATTTCAGAAACCCTAACAATCTGTAATCAAAAAATCCAGGAACATTCTAGAAAAAACAAGAGATTCTACATGTGGGCATCTATTCGAGAAAGTACGGTATTCAAAAATTCCGATATCGGGAAAATATAACTTTTGAAAATGAAGAAACTCGGAAATTTCGGACACACGGAAAATGGGAATTTCTGAAATTAGGAATTCAAATGTAAGATAAAGTAAACAAAACTCAGGAGGTTGAGCCCCCGGCAGGGGGCTCCAACCGACTGGTAAATCGTAACTTCAGAAATTCGGAAATTTAGAAATTAAGAAATTCTAGAAAATTCAAGATTTTAGAAAACTAATTTTTAAAGAATAGAAAAGGAATAGAAAAACAGAAATCCGAAAACTTAGAACTTCCAAAAATCAGAAACACATGAGTTTTTTTTTTCAATTTTTAAAAATTCCGAATTTCAAAAATTCATAAAAACCCACAAAATACCAGGGATTTTCAAAATTTGAACAAAAAAATATCAAAAAGTATTGCAAAATTTGAAAGTTTAAAAATCTCGAAAATTCTAGAAACTTGAAGGAATCAGCAACTCCAAAAACCCAAAACTCCAAGAAGTTGGGAAATTCCAGGAAGTTGGAAATACCAGAAGTTTGGAAGCTCAGAAAACTTTCTGAGTTTGTGTTTTTATATCACAACGCTCCTCTTTTAATTCTCTTATTTGAATTCCTTCTTTTCCTCCTTCTCCTAGCCTCCTACGAAGGCGCGCCAGGCTTCTCCTTCTTAATACACAGCAGTCCTTGCTTGTCTATCTTGTTAGCCTAATTTTTCTTCTCCTTCTTATCGTTGCTCCTCTCCTCGTCCGCCGGCAGGCACCATCGTTCGGCTGCTGCTCGCCCAGCCACCTAAGAACATCACAGCAATAATACTTACACACAGATAGGCAACCAACAAGTCGACACCTTCCTCTTCTTCTTTTTCTTCGTCTTCTTTTCCTTATCGCATCGCCCGCTGTTCCCCCGCCGGCCGAGCGGCCGCCTTCTCCAACGAACTCTGTGACATAGAAATAGTGCAGAGAAGGAAGAGCACGGAGAGAAAGAGAAGGTGCAGAGAGGCACTGGAAAAGGGGAATATAGATAGGGCGAGAAGAAGAGAACAAATGTCTGCTGGTCGCCTCAGTCGCTCATCGTCCGTCGTCTGTCCGTTATTGCAATCGCGCTCCACAGAGTATTGATTCTTCATAGATTCATATTTCTAGGCTAACAAAATACCTCTGTCTTGACATCTACATCACCGGTCCATAAAATACGAAACCATATTTTTCAGTAGAATTTCGGTCATTTTCAAAAGTCTGAAGCTCGGTTGTCAAGTTTCCGAGTCAAGTTTTCAGTTTTCAGTCGACAAGTTTTTGCTGTAAGACAGGCCTAGATTGAAAACTTTGTATTCACAGAATTTTTGGAAAATTCCTCGTTTGCCAATTTCTGAAAGACGCCTGTTTTTTTCAAGTTTTCAGTACAAAAACATGCCAAAAGGGATGTCTGTCAGAAATTGACACAACGCTGAAAAACTAGGAATTTTCAAAAAATTTTGTAAATGCAAAATTTTCAATCTACGTCTGTTTTACACCCTCCAAGATTTTCAAAAAAATCGTAAACTTTACAGTCGAGCTCCAGACTCCTGAACACGGTCAAAACGGCTAACAATCCACAGAAAAATGCGTTTTTCTATATCTTATGAACCGGTATTGTGAATAAGTCTGAAAAAAATCCAAAAGTCATGATATATTACTTAAAATTTATTGAATAATTGAATTGAATTTTCAGAGAAAGGTTTGAAGAAAAAAGATTTGGATGAAATTGAACTTTTTTAAGTTTTAAATTATTTTTTTTTGAAAAATCGAAATAATGGGGTATATCATGCGGTATATTACGGTATTATGGGGTAAAAACGCTGGAATCACAAGAAAAAACTGGAAAAAATTACAGAAAAAAAGGAAGAGAATTTTTGAGGAAGAATCGGGAGATGATAAAGATTGAGGAATTTGAGAGAAAAGGAACAGGGTAAAATTAATTTTTTGAGGTTTTTCAATTTTTATTTAAAAAAATTCTGTGGGGTTAATTATGGTGAAGAATTATGGGGTAAAAACAATGAAAATCACAAGAAAAACGGACAAAATCTCAGAAACGAAAGTCAGAGATCGGAATTTGTGGAAAAGTAAAAAATCGGGAAGATGGTGTAAATTGGGGTAACAACGGAGGACTTGAGGACAAAAAAAACGGAATTTCGAACAGAAAACCGAGAAATGTTATTCCTCTTTTGGCTTCTCATCCTTCGGCTCTTCTCCCCTTTGTTTCTTTGACGTCGATCCAGAAGCTTCTGACTCCTCTGGCGATCGGGGCCTTCTGCGTGATGGTTCGCCTGCTGCGGACGTTGATGGTCCTTCTGAAAATCCATAATCTCAAGAACAGCTCAAAAGCGGCTCAAAAACGGTCCAGATGGCTCAGAAGCGGCTCAAACGGCTCAAAACGGGATCGAATGGCTCAAAAACGTCTCTAAATTACCTTGGTAAAGATCAGGGAGCGAGAATCGGACCCCTCTTCTCGTCGGACTTCTCTCCTCTTCCGATTGGCTGCTGGGTCCTGAGGCATCCGAGGTGTCTGAAGCCTCCATTGGTGGAACACAGAGTCTTCGCCGCACCGAGTTGTACCATTCTGAAAAATCAGGTATTTAGGAGGGTATAAATCCATTATGACCAGGGAAAAATCAGTTATTTAAAATCCGAAATTCAAAAATCAGGTAGTGGTACAGTGAGCATTCTCTATGAAAATCTAAATTTACCTTGGTTACGTGGCCTAGAAGGCGTGCACGGTCTCGGGGACGGACGCCGACAAGCACTACCAGCCGAGGTTGGCGAGGCGAGCTGAATCCGGTTGGGAGGTGTCACTGAAAAGAACTTCATTTGTCTACAGGAAAATCTGAGAATCTAAGAAAAAAAACCAATACTTACCCATCGGCGAAACTCTGTATGAGATCTCGCTGTCCGGAGTTCTCAACGGACGCTCCCCGAGATCTCCTACCCCTGGCGATCCTCTTCTTCTAGCAGCACCAGCTGAGGATGGGATGGAGATCGAAGGAGATGGCTCCTCTACAAAGTTGTCCTCTGGGATATCAATTCCCAGGGGACCCAACAGGAAGTCTCTCGGATCAATATCTGAAATAACAACTCTAGAATCCGAAAGTCCGAATTTTCCACTTACTCAAGTCAATCTGATCGTCCTCCTCCTCCTCATCATCATGATCCGCCTCCGACGCCGACTCCCACTCCGACTCATCGCACAACTCCACGATCTCTACGTCGTCGGCGGCAGGATGCTCGGCTGGAGGTGGTGGTGGTCGGTGTGGCGCTAGAGATGGGCTGGCACCGGTGAGCTCAACATGATCGGCCATTTTGTTCCTGAAAACTTTAGAAAGTTAGGTTTAGAAATTTCGGCTTGGACGGAAAAGGAAGGAAAAGGAGGAAATAAAGGAAGAAGGGAAGGATGCGATCGAGTATTTGAATCGCTCCAGGGAAGGGCAAGAACGCACACAGAATACACGTAGGTTTATGATGACGTGCCGTACAAGATCTATCTCCAGAATTCGAAATTAAGGTGCGTCTGCCAACCTGCTGACGACCTGCTGACGACGACGGCGAAAGATAGATGACGTGGAATTCGAAAAAGAAAAATACAGAAGAGCAGCAAAGACGATGGCGACGACTTCAGAAGTTTACAATAGATGACGTGGCATGCAAGAATACAGGTGGATAGATAAGACGATGCTAGCAAGATATCCAAACTCAGAAAGGGGAAGATAAGATAGAAGGGAATCCGATGGCGTGGATGAAGGGAGCCTCCAGGGAAGAAGACGTATGTTGTAGGCGAGAGGGAAGAGTAGGCACGACGACGATACCCATCGGGAGGGGACGATAGATGACGTAACAGATGCGTACTGTACGTTTGTAGACGTACGTAGAA